TATATATATATATATAAAATAAAGTTTCATTTTAATTTTTGGAATGGAAAAAGAGGGAAATTCCCACAGACTGTATTGATGCAAACTATCTTGTCCCTGAAAACAATGTTATATTGCTGACAAGGGAAGAAGAAAGAAGACTGAATGTCACTAATATGCACTGTTGATTGATTAATATTATTTATCTGAGGAAATGGAAGAGGCACATTCCTGGATTTCGCACTTGATTTTTGTTTAAATATTAATATGTAAAAATTGATGAAAACATCACTATCCCCGTTTCCTATTTTAGTTTTCATAAAATGTATTTATTTTTATCTATGAGCTGGACATGTCCCCAGATTAGATTGCAGAAATCTGGTCACCGCACAGTAGGTAAAAAGAAATTACTCGAAAATAAATTGACGAAAATAAATAAAATAAAGACAATCAAAATCCCTCTTGCATTTGTCAGTCAATGGTAGCAAAGGAGCGATCTGAAACTAACAGTATCAGCCAATCAGAAGATCAAGGGAGGCAGGTCTTAGAAAAGCATGTACCTCCTGCTCTCGTTTCTTGCTCAAGTCGCCAGATAGATTGTGGTACAGGGCTAAAGTTCTACATGAAAAGTCACCTTGCGTCATTTGCGGCTCCATTCAACGGAGAGACGTGTAAAAAGTAAAAAAATAAATAAATGAAACTTTGTGTTTGGAGAGAAGGACGATGGAGAGAACGGAATTGCATGGAGTGGGCACAATGCAATTCATGACCTCCAAGGAAGATGTCACGACCATAGATAAAGGTCTCAAAAATAAATGGCGCTGGGCATGGCTGGAGGAGACGGGGCAAGATGGCAAGCCATATAGCTGCTGGTGCAGAAAGTTAGGTGAACCAGGCGCTTGCTTCTGTATGCTGTGCTCCAGGAACGCTCTGCAGTATAACTGGATATCAAAAGAAATTTGGCACATGCATAGATATAGATGTACTTTCCATCTTCTGGCCATTTGTGGTATTGGATTTTCAAAAGTCACATTTTTTCTTCAATCATTCATGCAATCTCTGATCCCATGCCCCCACACCCCCCTGGCATGGTTTGAAAATACACATATACTCGCATATATATGTGGAAAGAGTTTCTTGCCTGTGTCGAAAAAGTTCAGGCTCAGGATTTTTTTTTGTTTTGCTTTAATCCCTGTGCTGTATAGGTTAATAGCTGTAGGCATTTATAGCCAATGAACTTTTTCACTTTTCTAGTGCGCCTTAGCTGGGTTTTAGGTGATGAATCTTAATTTAGCTTGTGAAGTGAAAGCTAAATGTTACAAGAATTTTTACAAATAAACAGTAAAAAGGGTTGGGACGTTTCATGCTGATTCGTTAAATGAATGATCCCCGTAATATCAGCTGCTGGTTTTTAATATGCAAAAGGATTTTATTAAAGAAGCCGCAATGCTTATTAAAGCAGCATTTCCAGTATTTATTCTTCACATGAATATACAATAAAATACATTCAAGGGTTTTTAAGCAAGGCACTTTTTGTGTGCTTATTTGAGCTGTTCTAAACGTTTATATATGTTATTGTCCACCTGCAGCCCCTTTACTGGCCACATTGTGGAAAAAACACTGAGACTGTGGGGGAGCTCTGGCTCGGCTTGCTCCGCTTCTACACAGAGGAGTTTGACTTCAGAGAGCATGTCGTTTGTATCCGACAGCACGCCCGTCTCACCACGTTCAACAAGCAGTGGACCTCGAAGTACATTGTCATTGAAGGTCAGTTTGATCTACATTTATAATGATTGAAAATGTTTTGCTGCATTGTCCCCTGAAACTCTTGTCATGTCACGTTCCAGATCCATTTGACCTGAATCATAATTTGGGTGCCGGTCTGTCCAGGAGAAGTGAGATCATTTTTTCAATCTCTTCTTTGTTATCTCTACTTTATTGTCCCAGTTTTAATTTTTATATTCCTTCAAAACTGTCAACCCTTTTTACAATATATATATATATATTTTTTTGTCATTAAAATAGTGACAAACTTTATCATGAAGGCATTCATCAATGGAAGAAGAGTGTTTGGCACACCTGTGAGAGTGTTTCCACCAATTTATCCCACTGAAATGGTCTGTTTTAGAAATCTGGACACTCTAGCTTTATATTTAACGATTCTCAAATGAAGCAGTGATATCGTAATATTTGTGTGCAGGAGTATTTTTTTGACCCAGAGGTTCTGACCGAGGGAAAAGTAGCACCCAACGATCGCTGCTGCCGGGTCTGTGGCAAGATTGGACACTTTTTAAAAGACTGTCCCATGCGCAACAAGTGGGTACCTTTTCTTATTAGGTGAATCAAAAAATTCATATGTTGGGAATGTTGTGTGACACTGCTTGTTTTCTACTAGACCGAAAAAACAACGGGAATCAGAGCACTTTGAGGATTCCACAGAGGAACTCGTGGATCCAGTCAGATACAAGAAGAAACACTGGAAGAAAAGAGATGCACTGGAGATGCGCTGCTGCTTCCTGTGTGGATCAAGCTCCCACATCAAGAAGGACTGTCACCTTTACAGAAGTCCTGCAGGTTTCTGGAGGTTTCCTTCATTTCCTCACAGATATTTTTATTGAATAAATAAACAGAGAGGAAAAGCAAGATAAAAATTATAGTGAATTGAATCAGCAAGTACATATGATAGAGAAACAAATCACATATATGTAGCTTTGTTTCACAGAGGTCGGTCAGTTTATTTAATTTTACACTAATCTTGAAAATATCCTTGAATTTTTAAGTTAAAGATAGTCTGGTGCAAAAATCCTCTTTCCCAACATAATTCATTATCTCCGTCCAGTTTGAATTGCTTTTACCTTGAACTTGTTGGGTTTTTTTTGGATTAGTTATATTTATATATTTTTCCAGACTTACACAAGTACGGTAGCCAAAATCCATAGGCTTTTATAAATAACTGAAAACACACCTGAAACTAACAAGTCTGCTACTTAAAGGTATAGTGGCGTATATTCGAGAATTTTTGAAAAGACCTGCCCTCTCCACTTTAAAAATTCACATGCACAACCCTGTACCCGCTCTCGAGAGGGAACGTCTATTAAACTTGTGCGAGAGCGTGCACGAGCCCATTTCTCCTCGTGCACGCTCTGTTTAAAAATTTCTGTTTGCATCGCTCATTCAAGCTTACTTTCCTAAAGAAGATTTGCAATTTTTCGAACTATGTCAGACTCACCACTGATAAGTGAAAATGAGGACGAGCACCTAGGAAGGCCTTACATTAACATACCACCGGAATGATTGACAATTGGTGATCAACCCAGAAATGGAACATCCTGCATTATACCTGTAAAAAAAAAAAAAAAAAAAAAAGTCAAACCCAACATTAAAATATAAACACAGAAACAGCAGTAAGATTATTAATCAAATTTATAAATACATCTGAAAAAATGTTAAATTGTAAACAATTCGGCAAGGTATACAGACTTACTCAAACATAACTAAAGAAAATAAAGTTGCGCTAGCAAATATTCCTAGCATTAAACATATGCTTGGGGCTAAATTTCAACAATGTTTCCACAATTTATTTCAATTTATTTATATGGTGCCAATTCACAACACATGTCATCTCAAGGCACTTTACAGTTCACCAGACCATACAGTCAAATTAATTACAGTTTTCTATCTAAGGAAAACCAGTTGCATCGACTCACTGACTCAAAGGCACTTCCTAACACTAAGCATGCTTGTAGCAATAGTGGAGAGGAAAAAATCCCTTTTAACAGGAAGAAACCTCCAGCACAACCAGTCTCAGTGTGAGCCGCCATCTCCCTGGACGGACTGGGGTTCAAGAAGACAGAAGCAGAGATACAATAGGCGGCCCCATCCAGGAAACGCACAGCCAGGCAGATAAGCTCCGAGCCAGCTCCCATGTTAGAGGATGAAGAGAGGACATCCAGCCAGTCACAGTCAGATAAACAGTACTACACTGAAAAACGGGTCAATCTCAAACATCTATAAACAAAGGTGTTGATGACAGCTGCACAGCTGATATTTCTCTCAAGGATGGTAACCTCCCATTCTAATTTTAGAAATTCTAGGAACCACTAGTAGACCTGCAGATTGGGAGCTAAGTGCTCTGTTAGGAACATAAGGAACAATTGTATCTCTGATATAAGACGTAGCTTGGCCATTTAAGGCTTTATATGTGAGGATTTTAAATTATATTCTGTATTTAATAGGAAACCAATGAAGAGAAGCTAGGATAGGAGAGATATGATCTCTCTTTTTAATTTTCATCTGAACCCTGGCTGCAGCATTTTGGATCGGCTGAAGGCTTAAAGACTGATATAACGTTAGTCTTATTTTGTTTTCTCACATGCTCATTACATTTCCATTACCAAATTATGACCAAAAGGAATTTAATTGAATTCTCATGTCTATTTGCTGCTGGCTATTACAGAGGGTAAACAATAATTCAACTAAAGGTTACTGGTTCCCGATTAAGCAAATTATTTAATAAAACATTAATTTGGCCAAATAATGTTTTATTCATCATTTATTTGCATTGTGAATTGGCCTGAAACATTCTAGTCGTTCTAAATTTGTGAAAAGCTAATTTGATCACATCCAAAATTCTTCCAGATAAACTTTGGTTCTCAAACACAAGATCCATGCTAAACTGTAATATGGTTTTCAACCATCTTTTCCCTTCCTTTTTGTATATAGTAGCTTAGTTTAGCTAATTTTCATTAGTTTCATTCTTTTTTTTACTGAAATATGGTTGACAAGTATCACAACACAACATAAGAGGTGTGTTACACAGAAAAACTACCAAGGAACATAGTTAGAGGCGTGTATGTTGATTTACCTTCAGTCTGGTGGAACAGACAACTATGCTACCTTGTAATAACTGGGTTACAGTGAATTCAGTCTATAAGCTGAAATGCAACATAACGTTGAAGGTTTTTAACTTGGTTGGACAATAGAAGCCACTCCTTTCTGGCTTTCTTTTTAAATGTGCTAAATAGCCTCAGATGTGCAAACTTGATGATTCTGCTTGAAGCATGTAGACACAAAATGTTAGTTGTTCCTTAATGAATGTTGAAAAATCTTTATCTCTGAGGAAGGTCAAATGGAGATGCCAGTGCCTTTGGAAATGAGGAGCATTATATAGAAATATGCTTTGACACTCACTGAAAGGAACTGAGGTAAGGATATTACGGACAAGAAAGTAGTTTGTGCTCCATTAACATTGAAAAGAAAAGAGTAGTGCCTGTTAGGATGGAGATGGTGCTATATGTCAGACATAATAGTAGTTAAAACAGATTTATAAAAGAAGCAGGCTTGCTCAGTGTGTTTGGAAGATGGATTCAATATTGGGTCCAACCTGCAGAAGGTGTGAGGAGAAGAGATCTGACGAAGTCTACCACATCAGTGACATTGGAGAGTAGGATTTTTTCATTGTATATTATGCATCCTGTCTCTCGCATCCTTTAATTATTTTTATCATGTTGCAGGTAATGTGAAAATGGAAAACCTAACCCCCCCCTCGTCAGGCCACCTTAAGAATAGGAGAGAAAAGGGGAATCAGGTTTGTTTCCTGAATTGAATCACAAATCATGGCGAATATATTTTTGGCAAAATATGCTTTTATGATCTGCTGCGTAATCCTGTGGCTGTTTCTCAGGGCTTATCTGCACAAGAAGAAAGGAGGAGAAAGCAACAGAATGTAATTCTTAGTCCACAAGCAGGTATTTGATTTTCCAGTGCATTTCTGCCGCCACAGACGCTTTATTGCCTGAAGTGTTTTCTCAACCTCCAAAAAATAAATCCCAGTTCCTCCAGTCACTTCCTTTCCCACTGGTGTTAAAACCCCAGAAGACTGGCACGGTCAGTATTTCTGTAAACCTTGTTATAGGCCTCCCCTGAAGAGTTGAAGCCCGTATAGCATTCAAATGTGGCCTGACATGTTAAGAATGGGGCATCACTCAGGTTCATATGGGAGTGAATCCAACCCAGAAAATACTTTTGGCAATGATACATGTGGCGTTAATATAACAGTACAGCTAATATCACATAAAACATCCTTATTTTATCTTTTTGTTTGCCTTTTAAAAAAAAAAAAAAAACACTCTTTGAAGTAAAGTGTAAGTCGTGGGCTGTGACTCGTCTGTCCACTGGTGTAATTCCCAAACATCTGCAAAGGTCAGGGACATCTGGTAAGCCTTTGGACGGCGTGTCACAGTATCCTGAAGTTTACTGTTTATTTAAGACATAATTTCACACAGTTTCCGTTCTTCTATTTAGAACGATTAAATTAATGCAGTAATAACCTCTGTCAACAGTCTTTGCAAAGGTTAATAATGCATTTCTATATTCTGGGTGATTTTCCCGTTTAGGGTTGGTGAGAGGAGAGAATGAGAACATTGAGTATTTGCACCATCCCCAGACTCCTCCATGTTCCTCAGGACTTTGGAGTATAGTCCTGCTTCTATTTCTTGATCTTTGCTTTAACTTCTGCATATTAGTCTGCTGTTTAGTCAAGTTCTTTGCAGTAAAAGTGCGTGATTTGTTGATTGCTTTTTCGAGGCTATAGGGGTGAAAATAAAGCCACTGTAAACGGACCTGGATAATGTAGCTATCTTACCTCTCTTTTATTTGTCTGTTTAATCTGGATAAAAATCATACTTCCTAAAAAAAAAAAATCAAAATTTCTGCTTTCTGGTGTCATCCTAGGTAGTTTAGCTCGTCAAAACTTAAGCCGCTTTGGTCCCAAGAAAAGCCCAGAAGAGTGACAGCGCCCACTGGATTCTCAGAACGAAGGATTTGTGTTATCTCCACAGACTACAACCCTTATTTAGGGAATACTCCCTGAATCTGGATGATATTATTGGGTTGTTGGTTGCCCATTAAAAAGCCAAAGCCTGGACATTGAGACTTGAAGCCAAAAAGGGCCTTTTTATGTGTGTGTTTCCTCTTTAGAGGTGCTTTTAAAACTTTTATTTCTTACCAAGAGAAGCCATTATACATGTCCAGTTTCTTTGTTTTCATTCTGTTAATTTTTTTTTATTCTTTGCAAACCAATTCAGTAATGGCAATTTCAAATCTGCCTCCCGTAATCCTCAAAGATTTAGTGTTAAAAAAAATACTAGGATATTATGTGCAGAGGTTTTCTGCTAAAATGAAAACGAAGAAGATTGGCATTGTTTTTTTAATGCCTTAACTCAGTTGTTTATACAAACACCATCTCAATGTAAAATCACTATGTTATAAAATGTTGCTCTGGTCTGCTAGAGATTCATATTTTTATTGCCGTTTAATAATAACTTGATGAAGATTTTAATGGCAATGTTTAGTTGTATGGGGTTCTTTTATTTTCTTACCTTATATTTTAAATTCTGCCTCATTTTTGTGCTTCAATGAGGCCTATTTTTTTCTGTATAAATCCCCTAGAATGATTAATCAAGTTGGGTTGGAAAAAAAAATTAAAGGATTTGCTGTGAGAGCTATGCCGTCGCTTATATGCCTGCATGCGAAGACAGAGGCTAATCTTCCAACACTGTTTCTTCACTCATGACTGGAAATGGAATAACGTTGCTGAGGGAAAAAGTTTCAGACCGGCATGGGTCTGAATTTCAGGCCCTTTTATATGGATACCACAGATTTGGTAGCTGCACTGTGAGGGTCCAAGCCCTTCAATTTATTTTGCTGCTTGTTCATTTTTCCCTGCCAAGAGTTAATTATTAAATACAAAAAATGCCGTTTTTATTTTTGCATTTTTCTAAAACAAAGCTTTTGTTTTCATGAGTTTTATTGTTTGAGTTTATTTTAATACCAGCCTTTTTATAATTGTTTTGATGCACTGAAATTATCAAAGCATTTCATGTGTAATTAAGGAGTCCTGATCTAGGAAGGAAAGGCTGGTTAACACTCGATTTTGTCTGGGGAAAGAAAATAAAACATCATTTTACAACCTCTTGTGCAGTGTTTTTTCTTCAAATACAGTGGTTAGATATTGCACTATGGACATAACAATAAAATAATAACAAATATAGCTCTAAAAGCAATTCCAAAAAGACTTGAAGCTTGCCTAAAAAAATATGCAACATTCAGTTTGTAAAAAATGTAAGAAAATGCTTAACACATATGTGGCAGTTCTATTTTCTTTTCTATTCACTATCAATGCTGGGATAAGTCTTAATATTGCTGTATCCATATATTTATGACCTCCTGCCACCGAGCCCTATATGAACCTTCATTAAATTCAAGACAAAAGTAAAAACTTTTTGGTTTTTGAAGCATGGTTGAAAGGTTATATAGTGGTATGCATAGGATAGCTTAACATTATAATGTTTAATTGGTGTACAACATATGTTAATAAATGATTATATAGAGTGATGTTTAAAGGAAAATTTGCAGGATCAATGAAAATGGTCTTAGCTGCTTTGTTCAAATTTGGTAAATGTGACGTCAGTTGCAGTATAGTTTTAATTGAGGTTTATTATTAGGTATTTTTCCAAAGGTAAGTAGACCAATAATACCAGCTACTTTACTATGGAGCTGTTGTACAGTTTGGTGAAACAGTGAACGTCTTATATTTGTGGCATTTCCAGTTGATGTTTACTTCCAGTCTGTAGTTTGTGCAGTCAGGATAAGTAATGTTACTTGATATTTAGAGTATATTTTATTGTACGTATGGTTAAAAGTATGATTAATTTGTGTACATTTTTTCAAACTGAAAATAAAAAAACAAAACAAAAAACAATCGGCCTTTAAATTCCCTTTGTTGTGTGTACGGCGGCCCGCCTTGGACACAATTAGAAGGTGACGGGAACACAGAGTTCGGAACTTTTTGTTTTCGGCACGAAATACAAAAACAGTCAGGAAAAAAATGGCGTTGGCCAGGGTGTGCTTTCTGTTGACAACTTCAAATATTCATTATGAGCCCCTACGTTTGCATTAAAATACGAAGCGACACAATATTGCAGCATAGGATATTTTAGAGTAAAAATAAATTACAGCTAAAGTACATAAGGAATGTATATAAAAGAGGTTACATAACTGAAAATGACTCCCGTCTTTCTAGATCTATCCCCCCACGATCATTGGTTAATTTGCCTGCCTGTCAAATTTTTAGCCAATCATGTATCGCGGATTTTTGGAGGGCGTTCCTATACGTGTTTACACGCTTGCGCAAATCATTGTTATGATTTTTAGTAGTATCAACATGTCTGCCTCCTTGATGCGAGCGACCGTCCGAGCGGTTAATAAAAGAAAGATTTTAGCCACTAGAGCGGCTTTAACACTGGTGAGTTAAACGCACGGGCTTTGAAACTCAACGTATAACACATTTTATAACTAGTGTGTGATTCTGGAAAGGTGTGGTGCTCGGCGCGGGCGTCTGTCAGTGTGGTGTCAGTTGTGTAAGTTAGCTAAGTAAGCTAACCATCGCTGACTCGTTATATCTGCTGATGTTTTTCTCTTCTTTACTGAACTGTCATTGTTTCTTTATTAGTCAGTAGCCTATCAAGCAGACACATGTGTAGAACATTGTTACTTTGGTCTTATAGCTACTTTTAACTCTAAAAAGGACTCGATCAGCATAAATAGTTGCTGTATGGATAGCTGTTTGTAACATGCGTCTTATAGAAAGCATTATGTTTGATTAAACCAAATGTCTTCAAACTGAATTAATCTTTCAATAACTGCGAAATACAAAGTGGCGATATGCATTTAAGCTGTTATATTTTGCATAAAAAATGTCCAAGACATTTAGCCCCCAGTTGAATAATTTTAAAGAAAACAGCAGCTATTTATATGGGGATGTTTTGCTTTTACTTTGAGAAGCTACATAAATGTTTGCTCATTTGTATTTTCCTTACTCGAGCACAGACGTAATATCTAGTAAATTAGAAAAAAATACACACACACACACAAATAGCTTTGTTTTCATGACATATTGGGACATTTAATTGACTTGCATTAATTCTATATGGCCTAAACCTAACTATTACCAAGATGTACCTAATCCTAAGCTAAACTGAATTCACACCTTAGCCATAAACCTAACAACAACTCAAAGAACAGAAATTTACCATATAGGGACCAGTTAAATGTCCCCATATGTACCTGTAAGTCCTCGCATGTAGGACATTTTTCTAAATACTTCCCTCACATTGTAGGTAAAACAAGACCATATATACACACACACACACACACACACACACACATATTTATAAACTGAAATGCATGCATATACAACTGTTGCCAAAACCTCTAAATGGAAGGTCCTAAACGATTTCCAGTGACAAGAAATCATAACCCCACATTTCAAAGGATCTGCAAAACAACTTGGTCGGCAAGTAGGAACAAAACGGCAAATATCCATATTTTACAGCCTGTCTCAGACCAGGTCAAACAAAGACCCCAGACTTCCCGCTTCCAAGCAACACCCTCCAGCTCACCAGGGGACAGACTGAGGCATTTCCCAGCCTTTTGTGGTAAAACCTGTCTCTACCTCTAAAGCATTTTCCATTGGAGCACATTGTAAACAGCTTTCATGGAAAGCATCCTGTTCATTAGATTCATTAAAAATCTCAACATAGCTCAAAAAGTCAAGTTAAATAAAAAGATGTCTTAAAAGGCATAAATGATTATTTTAACTTTGCGTTAAAAGTTTAACTGAAATTTCAACATAAGGGGTAACCTTTCAGCAACTGTTCTTTTAAGAGTCTTCTGCTCTAAAGAACTTTCAGGTCAAATTTGTTAAGATCAAAGATAGCTCATATTTTAGACATATGTGTTTTTTTTCCCATGCTATGTGAGTTTATTTCATGTTTTTTTTCTTTTCCTTATATTTGTTTTCCCCCCTTTTGGTTATTGATATGGTCTATATTGACTTGGACAGTAGAAGCTCTATGTGAAGGTGCATTTCCTGCAAGCATTTTATGCATAACAAAAGCAGCTAAGGAGGACACGAATCAAAGATGCTTCCTAACTCAATTCCTTTTCTAATAAAAGGAATTTCAGTAAAATAAAATGTATTTCAATTGATACTAAAGTTGTTGGCTTTAAAAGTTGTTTAATGTGGAATAACTAACTGCATGATAACAAACCCAGCAATTTGAGCTGAAGCATTACCAATGGAATTACCCATGGTAACATATACTGAATCCACAAACCACTGCTACAGATTCTTTTTGATATGGACAAGCTGCCCTTTTTCCTGTGAGCATCTCATCCCCCTCCTCCCCGAAGGCATATCCGTCCTCCACCCTGTGGAGGCAGCTCATTTCAGTTGCTTAAACTCATTCTTTTGGTCATTACCCACTCCACATGACCAAGGGTCATGAATGCAGATGGTAACTTGAAAGCCTCACCTTTTTGGCTTTGCTTTCTTCGGCATATCTGACAGTAATGGTGGACTGTCCACACTGCTGCAAATACTGCACTGTATTCAGCTGCCGATTAGATGGTTATTTTTATCATTTCTGTAGCCTTACTATGTTGTCTGACAAATTTAGTCTATTAAAGTAGGTGAACTTATTCTAAGTCCAATCTATGTATTGGAATATTTTAACCCATTATAATTATCAGTATAAATCTTTGGAGATACATTTTTACCAAGAGGATATAAGCTGAGAGTATCTTGTTTGTCTTGGTGTACATTCTGTTGTAATTATCATTTAACATATGCCTATAAATTAATTTCTTCACTCACTGTTTGTCGGCAGCTCTGTGTTTGAAAATTTTTTAGATGTTTCTTTTTATAGTTACTTTAATTTTAAAAAATGAATAGAGATAAATATCGTTTGTTGCAATTCAGCTTGAAGATGTAGAGATATTTTTTGGTCTGTCATTCAGCCCTAATCAGTGCCATTTTTCAAGTTTTATTTGTATAGGAACTACAGACCAAAGAAAGCAAGAGTTTTATATATATATAGAGCCAGATGTTCACATCTGGTTAAATAGTATTTTATATTCGTACTGGTTTGTTACTATATTTTAATTTGGTTTAGCATAAATGGTTCATTTTAGGGGTTTCCTTCCTCTAGGAAACGTTTTCAATTAAGAGGTTCACTTTTTCAATTTTTCTAAATCTATGTTCATATTATTCGTTAACAAAAAAATATCCAAACACCAAATGTTTTAAAGTTGTTCATTGTTTATAACGTCAGTGTTTGAAGCATTTGATTTAAACTTAATACAATACAGTGATTTATAGCATTGCCTTAATTTGTCTAACTACGACCCCAACGTGGCATTATTAGTGAAATGGGACGAAAAGTAAACAGTCAGTGCTGTCGTGGTTGGATTGAAATGGGTGGGTTTGAAAAGACGCTGATGGAGAAGATCAGCTGAGGCGCTCTGCCGACAGCGAGATAATGTGTTTGTCCAACGGCCTCAGAAGATAAAGAGTCCTTAAGTAAATGCTGCATCATGAGAGGTGACACAGTCAGATCCAGAATGGGGGAGGGGGGATCTTTGAGGAAGCTTCTGTGGATCAGCAAGAGTGTTTGTTACAGAAGTTCTTCAAATGGCTCTTAAATTGTGATGTTATGAAAAGACTTGAGGCTGTCACACTTTTTTGTCTGTCTATTAGGCCTGCAAGATATTAGAAGGGGAAAAAAAACAGCAGGTCATGATATTTTTGTTTAACTTGGCTATGAAAGTATAAATTGGGGATAAAATCCCATTTTATTTCCATTTGTTTCCCCCTTTATCTTGTTGCTACACAGAGAAAGGTGGATTCTTACTCATTGTGTTGATTAATGCCCATTAATCGCTGTCGGCTCCAATTCCCTGCAGAGAAACTGGGGAAGGAAAAGGGGCTGCTATTTACTTGGCTCCTTCTTCATGGAGTGTGTTACAAAAATCCTGGAAATTTAACTGAACTTATTTCCAGAGTCAGAGAACTGGTGAACACTTGAAATGATTCATTTTCGTTATTTGTTTGACATTTTCATCTCAATTGGACTTTCCTGGTTAAATAATAATAATGATAATAATTGAACTTTATTGATCTCACACTGGAGAACTGGGTAGCAGTGAGCTGCCATCTTGCGGTGCCTGGAGAGCAGTGCGGGGTTAAGGGTCTTACTAAGGGACGGAGTGCAGGCTGTGGGAATCAAACCAGGTACTTGCAACCTTCTCAGAGCACAAAAACTGCTCTAAATCACTAGGCCGACAGCTCCCCCCAAAAAAGGTTTAAATAAAAGTTTACGTTTAAATACAAATAAGTGCACCATACTGCTTTGTAGAGCATGAAAACATGAATCATTTGCAGTGATGACTGCAGTAGAGTGCATTTTGCAGCTCTGGTCTGCATGTTTAAAAGCAGCAGCACAGACCTGAGAGGTTTAAAGGGATCAGCACCTAGTGGCCCATGTGTGTCCACATTGAGCCCCAAATCCCTTCCACGTGTGATAACACAGGTGGTTTTGTTCCTCTGCAGCTGATGCTTACAAATTCAGACAAGTTTTAGGTCGACTGAGTTATGTCAGTCAATTGAAAGGTATCAAATGCAGGAAAAACTGATGTTATAACCTAGATATGTGTCAGTATGTCTCTGTAGAGTTCCAGATGCTTCATTCTGAACCCAACATGTACACTAGCTCTGTGGCTCACCCCTTATTTTGATTGTTTTCTTTTTTGTAGACTCCTGCTGCTGTGAGCAAAATCCGATTGTTGCTGCAGGACAAACCAGAATATGTGAGTAAACAAACTGATTGACTGCAACTTTTGTTTGGTTTTGCTTTTATCAGAGAGACAGTTTATCTTTCCTCTGCTCTGTCAGGTTGGCTTTGATAAACTGGTTTTAGCTTTATGCAGTTAAAAGGAAGCAACAAGTTTCACAGATTGACTGAAGATCGCCTCAATTAAATCTATTCCTGGTTAGGAAATACAGTTGTTTGTTTAAGATATGATTTACTTAAAACAAAACTATCAGTTTGAGCTGATAGTTTTATCAGTCCTGTGGAAGGAGACAACACTCACTTGATAAATGGATTTTAGCTCAAAATGTCGTGTTTATAGAAACACTGAGACAAGATCATCAATGATCCTTAGTGGATGGAAAAGTTGTTCTTTTCTTAAATGTTAGCATTTTAACAACAGAGTGTGTCGATATGCTTGTGTTGCCTCATCAACAGATTGGTTTGAAGGTGGGAGTGAGAACACGCGGCTGTAATGGGCTGACTTACACTCTGGAATACACAACAGAGAGAGAGAAATCAGATGAGGAAGTGCTACAGGATGGTAAGTGTGTCGCCTGCAAAACTGCTTTAAAAACAGCCTGGAAGCAGTGACGCTACCTACATGGTTAGCAGATTTTGTCCTGCAGCATCAGCAACTCCAGAATGTTTTATTTTTTAAATGTATTCAGTATGTATATAAAAATATTTATATATAATGAATCAAGTGGGTTGTAGCCGCATGCTAACGGTTGCATAATTATCACAGTATCATTAGTTATCATCTGTGAGAACTTTATTTTTCCTCCCTTTTGGTTCTGATCTGTCAGCAGCTTTAAGAAGATACCTCTATGGTGCATTTGTAGGAGAAATTGAGTTGGCTTGAATAAACTTCTTTTTTTTTCCGCTTGAGTCGATCTTCTCTCTAAAAGATGCAATGGTCTTTTTGTATAACACAAATAGAAATTTCATGTTAAACTACTACCATAACGAAACAACAGCTTGGGTTTTGTAGGATTTCAAAGTAATTTAGCTTTGTGATAAAACCATTAATTGCAGTACTACATGCTCTGAGTGTTTCATTGGGCTTTCTTTCAGGTGTGAGAGTGTTTATTGAGAAGAAGGCTCAGCTCACCCTTCTGGGAACTGAGATGGACTTTGTGGAGTCAAAGCTGTCCAGTGAGTTTATCTTCAACAACCCTAACATCAAAGGCACGTGTGGCTGTGGGGAAAGCTTCAACATCTGAGCGTCGCTGTTTCACCGTCCCTCCCCTGCTCCTTCCCTGGCCTCCAACCCAGACTTGAAGACAGAGAGAATGCCAACGAGGAAGTTGGGTGTGAGGAAATCTTCGAGATGAGGACACCCCACCGGTTCCGGCCTCATCTTTCTGCAGACCACTCACGCATGCGTACCAGATCAGTCCAGCTCTGAATTTCTGTTTGCCCTCAAAGATTTCCAAACGATGTGTAGCCAAAGCCAGAAGTTATTTTACGTTGAAGTTTCTCTTCTGTTTAAAAGCTCTTCTCTGCTCTCAGTTCTGTTTGAGAAAACATTCGGTTCTAAGAAACAAACTGGTTTTAGTCCACAGAATTTTCATTTTTTTTTTTTTGTCAAATCTAACAATTAATGCAGATGAAAATGAAAAAGAATGTGCTTATTAACTCGGAGTTGTAGAGGGTTTACTCCTTGAAACTATTAGGATGTATGATGGTGGTAAACCAACATCAGCTGCCTGATAAAAGCACTGTACCAGAGTCCTGTTCTCCAGGCTAGTCTACAGAATTGCCAGAGGGGTTTGAGTGTCTTGAAGCTGTTTTATCAGTTTATAACATTGCTAGGTTTGTATTTATGTGTGTAAATAGAAAAAAAAAAACATGTAAATTCCTTGAACAACAAATACGCACAAAACCACCAAACGCACAAAACATGTATCCCTCATGTAAGAGTACAGAAGGTTTCTGGTAGTATCTTAGCCTCATCAGAGACTAGATTGTTTGTGTTGACTGTGCTCTTCAAATCATTTACCTGTGCAATATGTTTATGTAAATAAAAATGCTAAAAAGAAAAATAAGGCCTTAATTTCTTCTACTCTTTGCGTGACTGTGATGTTCAATTTATATCATCGACTGTTATTAAAGGTAAAGTGGAGGAGGTTCTTTTTCCAGGTGGATCATCAAAATAAATGGTCCTCCTAATTGTCAATCATTCTGGTGATATGTTTATGTAAGGTCGTCCTACATGCTCATCCCCATTTTCACTTACCGGTGGTGAGTCTGACATAGTGGAAAAATTGCAAATCTTTTGGAAAGCAAGCTTTTAATGAGTGATGCAAACAGCAACTTCTAAACAGCATGCTCGAGGAGAAATGGGATCTTGCATGTTGTCTTGTTAAAAAAGTTCATGTGTATTGATGGCAAATGGTGACTCTACAAAGAATTGACTTATATAAACTATATCAAACAGTTTAAGCTTCTCTTGAGACTATGAAAAAAGTCATACAGCATTTTCTTTTCTTCTGCTCAATCATGTCTAACTTTATTGACCTTACTGAAATATGTGTGTTAGAGAAGCTTAGGAAATACGGTTCTTTTTTGGAGTTGCTGCTTCTGGAGGCTAAAGATTCTGGGTCATTTCACTGTGATTCCTCCACCGGTTTATGTTTCTAGTACCATAACTTCAGAAAAGCTGTTAAACATGCCTTTCCTGCCATTGTTTTGCTCTACATGAAAAGCAAAGTCATAGTGGGGAATGTAGACACTAACAAAGAGGGAGACCCAAACCCAAATGAGTCCTTGCAGAGCTTTAATAAACGTGCTGTGAAAGAAAAATTACATTACACTTAATTGTTATATTTCTATTGTGACAACAAGCATGGGTAAATATCAAATGGCCCTTTGAACTATTAAAGCAAAAAAGAAATCAGAACCAACCAATTGAGGAAAAAAGTAATTTCCTATTCAAATAATCAGCCTGTCCTCATGAATTTGGCTAGAAGTTATCAAAAAGCACATCATGTTCCTGTTAAAAAGAAATTACAGAACAGATAAAAATAAATGAATTTACATCTATCAGTCTGTAGAGGGCGACAGAGTAAATCTTTAGGACTCAGAGGGCTTTTCTCCAAAAACTGAGAAAACATGGAATAAAGATGAGCCTTCACAGTAACCAGGTTTATTAACGCCTCATCCAGGAGGTCACCAAAAAACCCAGAAGAACCCTTCTTATTAAAAATAACAAAGATATCTAATATTTAACAGAAACAAACAAAAAACATCCTGATGCTCCCTTGACTTTTTGTAAAACATATTGTGGAATAATGTGACAAAGAGAAGGGCTTTTCAACAGCCTCTTTGGACGCTATCACACTATTAAATGGCGGTTGTTAGCGGTTATTAGTCACACGGATTGGCTTCAGATTGTCAGCTCCTACCTACCAGTAGGCTCAGTAGGTTGTTATCACTGAATGAATCCTAACCTTAGGGTAATTCCTTTTTTGCCAACAGAAATAATTACTCTCCCCAAAAAATCTCATATCCTGTCAACTGAGTTGCTTTTAAACATCACATGAAATCCGTGTGACTGAATTTGTGTGATTTGTAATGATTCCTTTTATCAAAAGACCTGATATGTTAGATGACATGAATACTGTAATAGGGGGTCTTGAACTTCTACCTACTCCTTTTGAGCGCTGCTAAAATGTCTTAATATGTCAATGTAAATCTTGCTTGTTTTGTTGAGATTGTAAATAATAAAAAATAAAAGTAAAGCTTTAAAATGCATTGGTTTCAGAGAGAGTGGGTCCTGTTATACACAGTATATCTACCATAAACTATCCTTCTAAATGGAAAGGCACACTCACCAGATATAACATCACTAGTCTAGAACCATGCAGCTTCTTAGAGGTGCTGTTTCTCGTCCATGTTTGGTTTGTTTTTCTTCACTGTTTCATGATCAGAGATGGACTGAGTTAGAGCAGTGTCATGTTAAAATAATTTGACTTAAGAAAATTAAAACAGGGTGCTTTAAATCAACTCTTAAATTAACATTTAAGTTGATTAATTCAAGTAGTTTTATATTTACTTTGTTTTTGATTGCTCAGGTTGTATTTGCCTGGTACTACATTTTTTTTTTCTTCAAACAAATAAAATTGACAAATATCATAACAGAAGCAATCTTAAGGCAGACAAACTTTTTTTTATAGTAAGATGATTTTAGAGATGAGAACTATCTGTTCGGTTATAAGTTTCTGTCTGCAGCATCTTTGTCATGTGAGCATTTTGGAAGAGATAATCCTGTTGCAGCCTATAATGAGATTCACGAGCTGAACGAGTCTTTAATTCTTGTCATGTTTTTCCTGACTGGCACAAACTGATGCAGTGAGTTTGAAAGCCCGAAGAGGTGTGCATATGACCATGCTGAAAGGTGCTCAGAGTTTAGTGTTCTAATGTGGGGGATTTTATTTTAAGTGAATGACCTGTTACCTGTATCAAGGTATGCTGAGCAAGATAGAGTTTAAGTTTTCTAACATTTCTTGCCTTATTATTACTAGTTTTATTCTTTAATTAGGCTTTAGCTAATGTATCAGAACCAAAAGGTTTGTCCTTTACACTAATAATTCAACTGCATTCATTAAATTCCACATTAAAAATGTGGGTCAGCTCAATATCATAATATCTTACCCACAGTTTTACTATTATTTTTGCAGAGACCAAGACTAATGCTTAGTTAGTTACTACTTTATATTTTATTTAATCAAGCAACCCAATTGCGTAAAAGTCTTTATAAATGTAAATAATCCAGAGAAACACAACATTTGTGGGTCTGACTTATCTTGTTTACTGTTTAAAAGTCCTCTCCATTGACAAGCTATTGTTTATCAATACATGATGGAAATTTTCTATGTTTCTCCTTCATCTTCCAGCTGTATGTAGAGGACCGTTTCACATCTTTCATTATGATTAGAGCCCATCTAAGCAAAAAGAATGCTAAGCAAATCGAGAAAGTTGGTTTTAATACTGAAACATGACCTAGACAACATGACTTTGTATTTCTCCTAAAGCGTATTTCAACCACCTATGATAAAATCTTGGAGATCATTCATATTGTTGTTTGGCTTTATCTAATCTGCATGGCAACAAAATAACCATGAACTGATTAACCAAGAATTTTGATTTATTATAACAGTTATTTCATTTGTGTGTGAGGTAGTGATTGGCGTTTTCGCTGAAACCAAATCAGCAAAACTCAAATAATTCTTCTCTTTCCCAGAAATTCATTAAACAGAAAATGAATCATTCATCACCTTTAGCTTAAGTGCAATAAAGTTATGCCGCACACATAGAAGTTTGCATGTAAAATGGATCAGAGAAACCATAACAAAATGAAGGAGTGGCCTAGTCAAAGTCTGGACCTAAATCCCACTGAGATGCCTTGCGATGCTTCTTGATGGAAGTTGTTGCTGTGAACTGTGGAACAGCCAGTTTAGAGGTTTAAAGGCCAATTACTTTTTCACAAGGAATCAGGTTGCTTTGGATAGAACTTTCCCCTAATAAAAAAAAAAATAGTTTTTAAAACTTCACAGTGTATTTTACTACTTGATCTTTTTAAAATAATTTTGTGGATCTGAAACACTAAGTCAAAGCAAAGCATTTTACATAACACTATACAAAACAGGATTCCATGTCAGTAACACCAACCAATCAGAAAGGGTTTGGCACCAAGAAGAGATACACTTCACTGAGGTGGTTTCAAAAGATCAAACTAAACCTGGTTTGTTGCCTCACGTAGCAAAGAACTTTTCCAGACATCAATAGATAAAAAAGAGCATCCTTACATAATAAGATAGTTGCACACAACTGATTTTTAACATTGGAACTTCTTAATTTAATTTCTTTCTGGTTG